CAAAGGGATGGGGGTCATACATCCCAGTCTGGAGTACCCTCATCCTAAGGTACCCCCAACCTTGGGTGCTCCTTATCCTTGGGTGCCCCTCACCCTGGGGTACCCTGACCATGGGGTACCCCCTTATCCCCAGCTGCTGCCCCCCTCATCTCCAGGCGGTCTCACCTGGATGGGGGCCGTGCTGAACTGGATCTTGCGGTTGGGGACAGGCTCCTCTTCCTCAGACAGCCCTGGGATCTCCACACAACCCGACTCGGGCTCATAGAGCCCTTCGGCCTCCTCCTCCTCCTCCAGCCCGCTGCCCCCCGAGTCCTCCCCGAGCCCGCTGTAGGCACTTATGTCCACCAGGTCCGCCTCGGAGAAGTCCTCCTTCTTGGCCTCCTCGTAGACATCGCCTTCATCCGCCTGCTCTCCCTTGACACCCTCCTCACCCACGGCCACACCGGAGCCCCTGTCCAGCCGGGATGGGGTGGGCGCCAGGTCCTCGGACCCCTTGGCCAGCTGGGGCACGGGCACCGGCTCCAGCACCATTGGTGCCTCCTCCTCCTCGGCCTCACCGCTCTCCTCCACCTCCACCGGCTTGATCTTGCAGACCTCCTGCACCCGCGGGGTGGGCAGCTCCTTCTCCACTGGCCGGGCACTCTTCCCCACTGCCTTCTCCTCCTCCTGCAGCCGGGTGCGGGGCTGGGCAGCGTGGCCATCACCCACCCGAGCAGCCTCGGCGCCCGGCGGAAAGACCCGGGGCCGCTTGCCCATCACCTTGGCGCCGAGTGGTCCAACCACTCGCCCCTGCGCCTTGTGCAGGTTGTTCCGGAGGTCGGCCTTCTCAAAGACAGCACTGAGCTGGCTGACGGTGGGCGAGACGGCTTCGGTGTCCAGCTTGTCCAGGGACTCGGTGCTGCCATTGAACCGCACCACCACGTCCAGCTTACGGTCCTGGAAACCAGCTCGTTCCTTACGTAGCAAGAGCTTGGTGGTGGTAGCTTTCTCCTGCGGGCTCCTCTCAAAGATCTTGCGGGTCTCCTGCAGCTTGGAGAAGGGTTTGTCGGGTTTGGAGTCGAAGCGGCTGACCCTCTCGGAGACGCTGGTGCCCAGCTTGAGGAGGTTGCCCTGGTCCATGCTCTCGCTGAGGCTGCCAGCCCGGGGCAAGGACAGACAGACCGGCTTCTCCTTGGCCTTGGCCAGGTCGCAGGCGCCCTCGGGGCCAGGCGCTGTCCCCATCTGCAGGAACATGTTCTTGATGCGATGAACGTTGGAGCCATACTTCTTACCCCGGCTTTTCTTGCCATCTTCACCATCGGCCTCCTTTGTGGGCGCCACGGCCTGGATGGTGGCCTCGTAGGCATTCCGGTGCGGGGATGCGCTCCGGAGACCCCCGCCGCCCGGCGCTGCCCCGGACGGGGACCCCCCGCCGCCTGCCTCTGTCCTCAGCATGCCGGCACCGGGGCTGTGCCGCACATCGCCCGCCGCGGCACCACCGGAACCACCGCTGCCACCGGCACCGCCGGCGCCACCGGCACCAGCACCGCCGCCGCTCGCCGCGGCCCCTCGCCGGTTACAGCGCCATGGGGAGGGGGATGCGGCCCGGGGAGAGGGGGGGGCAGGCGCCGCCCGCAAACCTGCACCGGGCCGCGGGGGGCTGCGGGGCCCGGTCAGGCCATGTCCATTCCGGGGAGGGGGGGCCCGGCCCTGCTTCCTTCCTCCCTCCCTTCTCCGCCTCCTCTTCCCCTTTCTCTGTGCTGGTGATGGAGCCGCTGCCTGCGATCCGCCCGCCCCGCTGCCCGCAGAGCCCGCTGGGTCTTAGCGGCGCCCGCTCTTCCTCTTCCTCACCGCCGCCGCCTCGGCGCGGGCACGGGGACCCCCCCCCGCAACACCCCCCTCGTCTCCGCATGCCCTGCGGGCCCCTCCCGCTCCCGCAATGGGGTGCCCGCCCCGTGGCGCGTCCCCACACCCCCAGCAGCCCTGCTCATCCGGTGCTGACACCCCCAGCTCTGTCCCCACGTCCCCCCCCTGCTCTGTCCCCACGTTCTCCCATCTCTGTTCCCAAGTCCTCCCCATGTCTCCCCATCTCTGTCCTCATGTCTTCCCCGCAGGTCTGTCCCCAAGTCCCCCTATCTCTGTCCCCCACCATGCCTGTCTGCCCTTGCACCCTGCCAGTTTTGTCCCTGTGGCCCCCAGGCTGGTCCCTGTGGCCCCTCAGTCGCACCTCTCTACTCACTTTTGTACCCGCATCTCCCCCATATCCTCATCATTTTGTCCACATGTCCCCCCCTCCTATCCCTGTCTCGCCCCGTGTTTGTACCCACATCCCCCCAATCTGTCCCCATATCCCCCCGTCCTGTCCCTATATGCCCCCCATGTTTGTAACTACTTCCACCCCCATTCTATCCCTGTACCCACAGTTCCCCCACCCTGTTCCCCTCCCGTGTCCCCCCATTTTTCGGCACATCCCCTTGCTCCCACCCCACACCCAAAGGGTGCCTTGTGGTGTCCCCACAGGGCCCCCATTCACTTCCTGGCCCCATAAACCCATCCCTGGGGTGCAACACGTCCCCCCCAGGCACCTCCACGCAGGGGTGGCAGGAGGGGAAACTGCAGCGGGGAAGGGGAGGGCTCTGGGCCGGGGGGGGCGCGGTGCTGACCCCCCCAGCATCCCTGCACCTTTGATGGGGTGTCCGGGGCTGTTCGCTGCTTTCCAGCAGGCACGGGGGGGAGGGGGCAGAGTGGGGCCGTGCTGGGGGCCAGGATGCACGGGGGAGATGTGGGGGGCACCCCCAAGATGGGAACGCGCAGGCACCAGGACCCTGCACCCGCCCCACGGCACCCGGCGCAGCCTCACAGCCTCTGACGTGACGCGGCGTGACGTCACTAGTGCGACACCCCCCCTTCGACCACCCGCTGCTCCTGCCACGGCCCCCCAGCCTGGGCCCCCGCGCAGGGCCCGCGCTACACCCGCACACACGTGTGCATACACACACACATGTGCACACACACACATACATGTGCACACACACACATACATGTGCACACACATACATACATGTGCACACACACAAGTGCACACACATACATGTGCACACACACACATGTGCACACACACATGTGCACACACATACATGTGCACACACACACATACATGTGCACACACACACAAGTGCACACACATACATGTGCACACACACACATGTGCACACACACATGTGCACACACATACATGTGCACACACACACATACATGTGCACACACACACAAGTGCACACACATACATGTGCACACACACACATGTGCACACACACATGTGCACACACATACATGTGCACACACATACATACATGTGCACACACATACATACATGTGCACACACATACATGTGCACACACATACATGTGCACACACATACATACATGTGCACACACATACATGTGCACACACATACATACATGTGCACACACACACATGTGCACACACATACATGTGCACACACACATACATGTGCACACACATACATGTGCACACACATACATGTGCATACACACACATGTGCACATACACACATGCATGTGCACACACATATACACATGTGCACACACACATACATGTGCACACACATACATGTGCACACACACATACATGTGCACACACACATACACATGTGCACACACACACATACATGTGCACACACACATACATGTGCACACACATACATGTGCACACACGCACATGTGCACACATACATATGCGCACACACATACATGTACACGCACACACATGTGCACACACACATGTACACACACATGCATGTGCACACACACATACATGTGCACACACATACATATGCACACAAATACATGTACACGCACACACATGTGCACACACACACATGCACACACACATACATGCACACACATACATACATGTGCACACATATACATGTACACACACGTGCACACTCACATGCATGTGCACACACACATACATGTGCACACACACATACATGTGCACACACATACATGTACACACACAAACATGTGCACACCCACATACAAGCACACACACATACATGTACACACACATACACGTGCACACACGCATGCATGTGCACACACACATACATGTGCACCCACGCACATGCATGTGCACGCACACATACATGTACACGCACACACATGTGCACACACATATATGTGCACACACACATGTGCACCCACACACATACATGTGCACACACATACATGTACACACACGTGCACACACATGCATGTGCACACACACATACATGCACACACACATACATGTGCACACACATACATGTACACACACACATGCATGTGCACACACATACATGTGCACACACACATACATGTGCATACACACACATACATGTGCAGAGATACATGTTCACACACACATACAGGTGCACACACGCACATACATGTGCACACACACCTACATGTACACATACATGCATGTGCACACATACATGTACACACACATATGCAAATACACATACATATGCACACGCATGTGCACATGCATATACATGCGCACACACATACGTGTGTACGCACACACATACATGTGCACATACACACATGTGCACATACACATTCATGTGCACACACACATACATGTGCAGTCACACATACACGTGCACACACATGTATGTGCACACACATATACATGTGCGCACAGACGCATGTGAGCTCACACACGTGTGTGCACACGTGCTCCTGCCTCGCTGCCACACAGGGGCACACACGTGCTTCTGGTGTCCCACACCCCACTCTGCCCCATCCTGTGCCCCCACTGCCACCCCATTGCCCTCGAGTGGGGGTTCCAGGACACCCCCATCAGAGGACGCCCCACCAAGGCAACACGGGAGCCCCGTGGGGCATTGGTGGCCGTGGTGCGATGTCCCCCTCCGTTCTCCGGTGGGATCCCCCCATGGGCTCCCCCCTTCCAGGCCAGCCCTGCTGCCTCTGTCAGTCAGCCCTGGCTCCATGCCCAAGCGCTGGAACATGGAGGCCCCGGAGCTGCTCCTGGTCTGGGTGCTGGCAGGCAAGTGGCGGCCCCGTCACCCACGGGGGGACACGGCCGGGCTGGGGACACCCCAGTGGGGACCGGATGGGGGCCTCCCAAAGAGGGGAGGGGCTGGGGGTGACGCTCAGATGGGACAGAGCTCAATGGAGACATCGTGGCCCTGCTGCCAGATGGCTTTGGGACAAGGCAGGGGGAGGGGGGTGAGTGGGACTTCTCCGGGGGTCCGGGGCAAGTGGGGGCTGCTGTCCCCATCTCTGTCCTTGTCCTTGTCCCTTTCCCTGCCCCTGGCCCCATTCCCACCCCTTCCTAAATATAGCCCACCCGCCATCCCAAGGCACTCGGCTGCAGGGAACATTCCTGGCCCTGTCCTGTGTTCCCGGGGGGCTCTGGGCAATGGGGAAACTGAGGCAGGGAGGAGCCACGGTGCTCAGCCCTGGCTCTAGCCCTGTCCCTGGCCACAGCCGTGGTCCCAGGGGAGTCGCAGGGCACCCTCCCTGACCACCACGTCCTCTCTGACCACCGCCTCTCCGCCGAGACCGGAGCTGTCTTTGTCCATGATCTGAAGCGGGAGCTGTTCCTGGATGCCTTCCTCACCAGGAGCGAGGATGATGGTGGTGAGGGCCAGGAGAGTGTAGTCGGGATCAGGAGGGGTCCTGCAGAGCCTGTGGGGCTGGGACCATTAATGGGGAGCCCTGGCTAAGCCTGCTCCCCACCAGCCATGACACCAGCTGGGCCATCTCCATCTGTCCCTCCTTCTACACAGTCCTGTAAACCTCCACCCATCCCACACCCCATCCATTCCACCCTGCATCCATGCTATCCTCCATGCATACCACACCTCATTCATCCCAACCCCCATCCATTCCACCCCCCATCCATCCTATACTCCATCCATCCCACCCCCATCCATCTTATCCTCCATCCATCCCACCCTGTGTCCATGCTATCCTCTATCCATCCCATCCCCTATCCATCCCACCCCCCATCCATCCCACCCCTCATCCGTCCTACCCCATCCACCCCAGCCATATCCATCCCATCCCCCATGTACCACATCCCCCATCCATCCGACCCCCATCCATCCTATCCTCCATCCATCCTACCCTCCATCCACCCCATCCCCATCCATCCCATGCCCTACCCATCCCACCCCCCATGCACCCCATCCCCCATCCATCCCATCCCCCATCCATCCTATACTCCATCCATCCCACCCCCATCCATCTTATCCTCCATCCATCCCACCCTGCGTCCATGCTATCCTCTATCCATCGCATCCCCTATCCATCCCACCCCCCATCCATCCTACCCTCCATCCGCCCCAGCCATATCCATCCCATCCCCCATGTACCACATCCCCCATCCATCCCACCCGTCATCCATCCTACCCTCCATCCACCCCACCCCCTATCCATCCCACCCCCCATCCATCCCACCCCTCATGCACCCCATCCCCCATTCATCCCATCCCCCACCCATCCTATACTTCATCCATCCCACCCCACATCCATCTCACCCTGCATCCATGCTATCCTCTGTCCATCCCTTCATCCCACCCCATCCCTCCACCCGTCTGGGGCCTCCCAAGCATTGCCCCATCACACTGTTGAAGTCAACCAGGAGAAGCACACCTTTATCCCCCCATTTAGGCTCTGAGGGTCATCTCCATTGGGGTCATTCACCCCCAAAAGGGGAGCGGGACCTCCCCAGGGCCCAGCTGGTGCAGGGACCACTCCTGCTTCCTTGTGGGGACCAGTTGGATGGGGAAGGGCTTGTAGGGCTGTCGCACAGCCCTTGTGTGGCACATGAATCCCAGTGTCTGTGTCCTGGTACCCACAGCCACCCCCATCACCTTCCATGCTCACCTCCGGGACCACCCGGACCTTCCGCGGTGGCTGCGGTACATCCAGCGCAACCCCCGCCAGCCAGGATACCTCTATGGTTGCCCCACGGCCACCGAGGTCGGCACCCACACCATTGAGGTAGGTGTCCCCCCTCCTGGCCCTGTGCTGGGGAGAGCGGGGTTGGCATCTTTGGGGGTGTTCCCTGTGTTGGCAGGTCCTGGCGTACAACCGGCTCACCTACGAGACGGTGGCTCAGCGCCTCCTCATCACCGTCATCCGCGCTTCACGTAAGGGCTGCGCACCCCAAACCTCACTGGGATGCCCCTGCATGCAGTGTCCCCATGGGCGCCACTTGTCCCCGCAGGTGGGGAGCTGCCGTTCCAAGGTGAGTTCCTGGTGGGTAACAGGAACGTGGAGGAGCTGCTGCCCAAGGCCGCGCGGGACATCTTCCTGCAGGCCACGGCAGGCGTCTGGGAGCAGGATGATCTCCAAATCATCAACATCACCTCGGCCCTGGACCGCGGCAGCCGCGTCCCGCTGCCCATCGAGGGGCGCAAGGAGGGGTATGAGCAGCACTGAGGGTGCTCCCCAGCAGACCCCAGCCTCCATGTGTGGATCTGGGGGTGACCTGCAGCCGCCCCACAGGGTCTATGTGTCAGTGGGGTCCCACGGACCCTTCTCAGGGTGCCTGACATCGGCTGCCTCGGCACAGAGCCACTTCCTCTGCAGCCTGGGCCAGCAGCCCCTCGCCTCCTGCTACGACACCTTCGCCCCCCACTTCTCCATCTGCTGGTGCAACCTCACCCTGGTGAGACCCATGTGCCCCCCCCCCGCACGACAGCACCCATATTGACGCCACCAGTAACCATCACCCCACTGCAGCTGCAGGTCTGGCCCAGCCCCACAGAGCCAGTGCCCATGTGGGGTTCCGGGGTGCTGGAGGAGGGTGGGGATTTCCAGCCCCCCACCGAGGTGCCCCCCCAGGACCTGCTGCCCGGGTTCCTGGTGACGCTGCTGGTGCCACTGGCAGTAGCTGCGCTGCTCTGCCTGCTCCTGGGACACCTCATGTGCTGCCGCAGGGAGGGAGTGTGAGTCAGGGGGGTCCCCACACCCAGGTGCCCACCCCTCGGCCATGGTGGCACCAGGACAGCCTGGAGGGCTGAGAGCCCTTCTCACCACTGTTACATTTTCCTCTGTTTTGTAGGCAAAAACGGGATTTGGAGACATCTGAGTAAGTCCCTGCACCCAGGATGAGGGGCTGGGGGAGCTGGGGGGGCTTTGTCATGGCCAAGCATGAGGAAGGCCAGCAGGACTAGGAACAGGGATGGGAACAGTTATCTCTCTGGTGGAGCATAAAGGTGTCCCCATTCCAAAGGGTACCTCCGAGGCCCCCTCCTCGCCTCCCCAATTGTCGGTGTCCCCAATAACCCCCCACAGACACGGGCTGGAGCACAAGAGCTGTTTTACTTCTCCAGTAGCCTTGCAGGACTCAACAGCACTGAGGGGGACCCCGCAGATGGAGGGGCAGACCTTGATGATGAGGGATCAATCACAGTGATAGAGTGCAGACCCCAAGGCTGGGTGGCCATACGCCACTGATGGGGAGCAAACAGCTCGTAATGGGGTGACCGACCCCACCAAGCCCCTTCCCCAGAAGGCTGTGGGTGGGAAGGAGGGGGTGCAGCACCACTTGTCCTTCCCCCACAGTGTCCAGCTGTTCCACCACGCCACGATCCACGGTGACACGCAGGAGCTGAGGCACATGGCCGGCAGCAGGGACGTCCCACGGCCCCTTTCCACCCTTCCCATGTTCAATGTCCGCACGGGACAGCGCATCAACCCCCTGCCTAGAGGTGCGGATGGAGCCCGTGTCCCGCTCCTCCCGCAGTGATGCTGGGGTGAGGAGACACAACCTCAGGGACAGGGATGGATGAAGGGGTGTCAGGGTACTTTTGTGGGGACCTCGCAGTTGTCATCTCCCTGGGGGTGTCCCCGCTGTGGGGTGGGTTTCAGCTGATAAAGTGGCCATTGAGAGATGCATGTGGCTTTTCTGCTTTATTTTTGGCTGTTTGCTGGGGGGGGGGGGGAGGGTGAAGAGGGAGGTTTTGGGGTGCAGCCTGCTGCGGGGCTCCGCTGGTTGCAACCAGCATTGAGTTGGCCAGTTCTTTACCCCAGCCAGCCCCAGGTGATGTGGGGCTGGGGCCCTGGTCTACCCTCCCTGTTGGTGCAGTTTCTGCACTCCTCTGCCGCCGTTTCCAGCTGCTTCACTCTATCCGGGTGCCCTCCTCCCACCCTGCTTCATTCATGACCCCCCAAGCCGTGCGGAGGGAAAAGGGCTCGTGGAAAGTAGGTATGGGGATAGGGACAGGGACAAGAGGGGGAACGCAGTCCCAGGGACACACAATGGCACCCACAGCACCCCAGTGTCTCCCGGCTCACCTGGGTCCTTGTTCCCTGCAGGATGGTGCCTGGAGCTTGCCCTCTTCCACCGCGCAGACCCAGACATCCCACTCAGCACCCCCAAACCCCTCCCCGGCCTCCCGGAGTTCCCCCCAGCCCAGCCCCTCACCTCCAAAGAAAGAGCATCTTTCAGAGAGGCCCCCCCCCCCCAACACGGGGCAGGCGCCAGGGTGGGGGTTAAGAAAACAGGGGGTGGGCCCAGGGAGGAACAAGAGGAGCCATTGATGGGCTGGGGCAGGCGAGGAGAAAGGAGCCATTGAGGTCTTGTCCTGCTGCCTGCGCAGCCCCATGCCCCCCGTGGGGGTAACCTGGGGGAGCCGAGGGTGGCACCTGGGGGCACAAGCATGAGCTGCTGGTGCTGCCCGGCTGCCCTTGCACCAGGGAGTGTAAGCAGTGTGAGCTGGGGTGGATGGTGCTGGCATGGGGGGGACCTGCAGTGGGTGCAAGGGGCTTGCACTGTGGCACCCGTGCACCATGGCACCCATTCACTGTAGCACCCATGCCATGGCACCCATGCACCATGGCACCCATATACCATGGCATCCATGCACCATGGCACCCATATACCATGGCATCCATGCACCATTGCACCCATGCACCATGGCACCCGTACACCATGGCATCCAAGCACCATTGCACCCATGCACCATGGCATCCAAGCACCATTGCACCCATGCACCATGGCACCCGTATACCATGGCATCCATGCACCATGGCACCCATGCACCATGGTACCCGTATACCATGGCATCCATGCACCATGGCTCCCATTCACTGTAGCACCCATACACTGTAGCACCCATGTACCATGGCATTCATGCACTGTGGCACCTCCAGCCACCCTCCATGTCCCCCTTTGTTCCCCCATGTCTCCCCCCATTCGGGGAGGGGACAACCCCAAAGTTCCCTCCCCCCCAGATCCAGCCCAACCGTCCTTTCGGGAGGGGGGGATGGGGGGGGGGGGGGGTGGATTCCCCCTTCCTTCCTCTCCCCCGCCCCAGGGCAGCGGGGGCTGAGCGAGGAGGAGGAGGAGGCCGGGGGCCGTGGTGAGGTGGGAGGACGGTGGGGCGGGAGCACAGAAGCGCAGGAGCGCAGGAGCAGAGCGGGAGCAGCCGGGACGGAGGACGAGGGGCTCCCAAGCCCATGCACCCCCCCCAGGATCCCCACGGCGACCCCCGAGAGCGAAGAGCAGAGCAGGTTGGTCGGATCATTTCACTTGCTTTATTTCAGCAGTCAAAAAGAGAAAAATAATAGATAATTAAAAAAAAAAGAGAACAATTTCAAATTATTATACATTATACAAACACGGTACAGAGCCGGGAGATCCCCGAGCATCCGCCGGGAAATGAGCCGGCAAATGGGTTGGGTTCGTGCCCCATAGGGGATGCAGAGATGGATGGGTGTGTGGATGGATGCAGGGATGGATGGATGGATGAAGGGATGGGGAAAAAGCTGCTGGAAGATGAGAGCAGAGCTGAAGGTCCACATGCTTAACCTGGAAAGTGCAGTTTTCCTTATTCTCTTTCAAGGCTTTGAACTGCGCTGGCTCTACTTTGCGTTTGCTCCGGGATTTGCTTGTGGGATGGGATGGGGGTTGAATAGCACCTTTAGAAAACTCACCAGTGGAGCTGGACAGCAAAGAAAGGGGGGAAAGAATCAAACAGAGGGAAATGAAGATAAATCAAGGTGAGTCTTTGGAGGCGGTAGCACCAGGCGGCCCCAGGCTCGGGTGTTTCGGGACTGGAATGAAAGAGAATTAACCAAAAACCAGGCTAAAAATCCTGGGGGTAAGAAACCTCAATGACTCCTGAGAGACCTTGAATGGGGGGAAATGAACATCAACGAGCAATAGAGCAACAAAACAAGGGGAAAAGTGGGAACATTAGACGGAAAATTTAGCACCTTTGCTCTGAACCTGGCAGGAAAGTCCCGGCACAGCTGAAAGAAAAAAACCAAACGAAGCTAAAACTACATGAATATGAAACAAAAATACCCCCAAAATGCGACAAATCTTTAACCCCAGTGAGGTAGCCTTCCGGAAAAGGAGGGTGCAGAGCGAGGTTTCGGGTCTGCGGCGCTGGGGCAGCGGCTGCTCCCCTGGAGTGCTTGGGAATGGGCTGTTGTGGCTGCCTGAATGGGAAGAAAAGAAAGCAAACAGAAAGAAAAGGACCCAAAAACAAAAGAACCAAACCAAAGGGAAGGGGGAGAGGGGCAACCCCCAAACCCAAGCAGCGAATCAGAACCAAGGGTTGAGCATCTTCCTTGCAGCGAAAACATGAACAGGCTGATGAGATGCGAGAAGCAAAGAGGGTTTGGGGGGGAATGAGGGGTTCGGAGATCCCAGTGCTCCAGGTGAGGCTCGGCTGGGTGAGTTGAACCCAACTCCGGGGAGGGGGCAAGCAAAGCGAACCCACGTCCTGGTGATTTGGTTTGAAAAGTCATTTATTTTTTATTCTTTTTTGAGGGGTTTAATGCTTTTTAGGGTTTTTTTTTTTTAGGTTTTTCTGGTATAGTTTTAGAGACGCTGGATAGAAACCGACACAAATTCGAGTCCATGTGAAATTTTCTCCTTTTTTTGGCTGTTTTTTTTTTTTTGTCTGTTTTTATTATTATTATCATTATTATTACTCTCTCCTGTCACATGTGGGGCGTCCGGTTTACAAGAAGCAGACTGGGCCAATGTCGATGCCGAATTCCTGGTCTGGAGCGCCAACGTCCATGGGAGCCAAATCAATGATGGGCAGGCGAGAGGTCTTTGTTGTCTTGTATTCGATGACTGTCTTTCCCCAGGCGCCAGTGTGACTCTGTGGGGAGCTCAAGATCAGCCCTGTGCCCACCACACGTCGCCACCACCACCACCGGGACCATCCCCGGCCCCACTCACCGTGCAGCCGTCCTCAGTGACACCATAGGTGAAGCGGCTGTTGCCTTCAGCCCTGATCTCAATCTCGTTGGCGCCTTGGAGGAGAAGAGCCTTCTTCAGGTTGCCGGTGTCCTGGTCCATGTAGGCAACGCTGTTTTTGCAGTGGTAGGTGATGTTCTGGGAGGCCTCGGTGGCCATCAGGCGGAGGAAGGTCAGCTGAATGGCGACGTCGGCGGGGTTGGAGCCCTCACCACCATACTCGAACTGCCGGAGAAGAGGCATTAGGCACCACAGAGCTGGTTGTCCATCCCGGTTGTCCCCCCCTCATCATCCCCATGCTAACCTGGAAGCCGTCACTCATTGTCTCGCCAAACCAGATGTGCTTCTTCTCCTTGGGGTTCTTGCTGAGATACCAGTTCTTCTGGGCAATGGTGGCCTGGGTTGGGTAGACGCACGTCTCGCCTGTCTCCATGTTACAGTAGACCTTGATGGCATCCAGGTTGCAACCTTGGTTGGGGTCAATCCAGTATTCGCCTGTGGGGTAGAGGGAGGACGGTGAAGGAGTGGGAAGCGAGGCAGGTGGCGAGGATGGATAGAGGATGGAGATGAAGGCCAGCCATAAGGGATGGAGGATAGAGGTGAGGAGTAGCCATGGAGGATGGAGGTGAGGAGCAGGGGGAGGGTCAGAGGATGGAGGAATAGGTGAGGGGTAGTTGTGAGAGATGGAGGATGAAGGGATGGCAGGTGGAGGTGAGGAGCAATCATGAGAGATGGAGGAGGGAGGTGAGGAGCAGGTAGGAGGGATCTGGGGGTGGAGCATGAGGTTGAGCAACACCCATGAGGAAGAGGAAGGAGGTGGGGAACAGCCATAAGCAATGGAGAGTGAAGGGATGGAGGATGGAGGTGAGAAGTAGCCACAAGAGGTAGAGGATGGAGGTGAGAGCAGCCATGAGAGATAGGATAGAGGAATGAAGCTGAGGCTCAACCAGAGGTGATGGAATAAGGATGGAAGTGAGGAGTACGCAGACAGGACAGAGGGATGGAAGTGTGAGCACCTCAGAGGGCACCAGCAGGGACACTGACCGCTCTTCCAGTCACCGTGGCACATCTTGAGATCACGGCAGGTACGGGCAGGGTTCTTGCGGGTGCCCTCAGGGCTGCGGATGTTCTCGATCTGTTGGCTCAGGCTCTTGAGGGTGGTGTCGACCTCCAGGTCCCGGTCACGCATCACGTTAGCATCATCAGCTCTGTAGTAGCGCCCACCATCATGAGCCTTCTCCTGGGGCGGCTGGGGCAGGAAGCTGAAGTCAAAGCCGCCGCTGGGGGGGCCGGGAGGACCAGGGGGGCCAGGAGGGCCAGGGGGACCCTACAAGAGGAGGATAATGGTGAGAAGGAGATGAAGGCTGGCAGCTTCGGGCAGGCAGCAGCACAGGGGCCAATACATACGACAGGGCCAACGTCGCCAGTGCGACCACGGGGGCCAGGGGGACCGATGGGACCGGGCAGCCCGTTGAGACCGTCTTTGCCTGCAGCACCAGCAGAGCCAGGAGGACCCTGTGGGAGAAAAGGGGTGAGCATGGCCATCATCCCCATCAGGATCCTGGTAACAGGGGGGACCTTCTCCCTGGGATGCTCCAGTAGAGACTGGAGACTGACTCAGCTGAGGACTTACTCTTGGACCAGCGGGACCAGAAGCACCAGAAGGACCTTGTTCAC